AATTGATGCACAATTTTTCTATTTTTAAGATTTTTTTCTTTGTCTTTAATATACTGTGAGAGTCTGTTTGTGGATCCCTCTGTATTCATCTTATTTGCAGTTTGTTCCTGGATGTGCAAGGTCTTATTTTTCAATAAATATGACATGTTTTCTCTAGCTGTTATTCCTTTGAATAATATTTGCTCTCCTTTTCTTTGTGGTTGTTTTTGTTTTGGAGCCACCCCTGGTGAAACTCAGGAACGACTTCTGGTCCAATGCTTGGGTGTCACTCTTGGTGGTATTAGGGGGACCATTTTGTGACAGGGATCAAATCTAGGCCTCCCACATGCACGCCATGTATTGCAACCATTGAAGCCTTACTTCCAAGCCTAACTTCTTTCTGTTTCTTTTCTCCTTTTGGCATTTCCAATATGCTTAAGTTCATATGCTTGATTACATCTCATATTTCTCTGAGAATTTTCTCATTTTTTATTCCTTCTTTATTTTCTCTACGTTCATGGATTGTACTTTCTCTATTGCTGTGATTTCAAATGTGCTAATTTGTCTTCTTTCAGTTAAAATTATTCATCTCCTCTGCGTAATTTTTGTTTGTTGTTGTACTTTTTAATCACAGAATTTCCATTTAATTCATTTTAATAACTTATATCTGTTGACATATCTATTTGATATGACATTATCATAACTTCTTTTATGTCTATGATTATAGTTTCTTTCATTCCATGAAGAAAATTATAATGACTCCTTGAAATCTGACACATTTCTTCCCTTTGACAGTGTCTAATGCCCACTTTTTTTTTCTTGAATATTCACTTTGCTGACAGGTTCTTGGAAACTAACTTTATGTAAAATGAGGTATAACAAGAGACTATAAAATCCAGATCCCGGAACTGCGCGGCCGCATTCGCGTTCGCGGCCGCGCGACATCTTATCAGAACTTTTCTTTATGACATCTTATTATCTCATTCCTACTTTGGACAAACTTGCAGGCTATCGAATGTAGCCTGCCCACAGGGCAGAGTCTGGCAAACTCCCAGTGGCATACCAAATATGCCAAATACCAGTAACAATGATGGGTCTCATTCTCCTAAAGAGCCGTGAATATAATCTCAGGGCTAGGATGAAAGAGACGTTACTGGGGCCTGCTCGAGGCAATCGACGATTAACAGGATGATGAAATGAAATGATGAGGTATAACAAACCAATTTTAACATAGGTTGATAAAAGCATGCATTAAGTTGTCTCTGAATATTTCTGCTCACGTAAACTTAACCAAACTACTCAACTTTAGCACTGTAACAGCGTCCTCCCATTGTTCATCAATTTGCTCCAGCAGGCACCAGTAATGTCTTCATTGTGAGACTTGCTGTTACTGTTTTTGGCATATTGAATACACCTCGGGAGCTTGCCAGGCTCTGCCGTGCGGGCAGGATGCTCTCGGTAGCTTGCCAGGCTCCCTGAGAGGGATGGAGGAATCGAACCTGGGTCGGCCGCGTGCAAGGCAAACGCCCTACCCGCTGTGCTATTGCTCCAGCCCAAACTACTCAACAGAAACCCAAAATCATATCCACTATTACATGATAATATGATAATAAATGATAAGTGATAATGTTTCTCAGAAAAACTTATCTAATATTAAATGATTGGATATTCATATTCCAAACTACCTATTTCAGTTCGGGGATGCGGGGGATAGAGTCTATATATGCACACTAGGTTACACAGTGGGTTAATCCTGAACAGCTGGTTTTTACTTCACAGGGCACAGTTTCACACTCACCTACACTCACACTAGGACAATGACACATCCATCAACCTAATGTGCACACCTTTGGAGTGGAAAAAAATCAGAGTACCAGAGAAATTTTGTGTATTATGGAGGAAATATGTGGACTCCACAGAGAATGTGGCCCTCCCCAGCCTGGAACCACTTCCTTTCCTGAATCGGCCTTATGAAGAAACATAGGATGAAGTCTCATTACTTGAGGACCTGTAATATTTTCCTATTTATAGGCCCCATACTTAATCCATTTGAAACTGAGAATTTTATGGAATATATTACAGCAACTCTGGGTAGGGTTATTTCTTCTCTCATTGCTGTCTGTGAGTGACTTATTTGATTAGTGATTAACCTAGTTTATTGTAGGGAGGTCTATTTCCCTAGTAAATGCTTAATTGTGTTCTGCCTCCAAAGAAATGTTGAAGTCCTAACCCCTGCTTATCTCAGATTGTAGGATATCTGCAGATTTCAATACATTGAGATCTTTAGGGTGAGTCTCCATCCAATAAAACTTTAGTGCTTATAGAAAGGGGAAATTTGGACACAGATGCACTCATGGGGAAAATAAAATACAGCCATATAGGAAGACTGTAATGTTAAAGTAGAGGACTGGAGGGATGGATCTATACATACATATATACATATACATACATGGAGAGAGAGAGAGAGAGAGAGAGAGAGAGAGAGAGAGAGAGAGAGAGAGAGAGAGAGAGTGCTACCAGAAGCTAGGACAGAACACCTTGGCAAATGAGACAGCGTCCCTGATTCTTGATCGTCGACGGATGTCAGAACTCCAGATTCTTTCTCTCATTTGAGTGAAACGTGATATTCCAAGCATAGCTCTTTCAATTCTTCTTTGGGAGACCTGAATAGCGTTCTCATCCTGTTTGCATAGGGCCCAGGTCTCTGAGGCATATGTTAATGCAGGAAGAACAGTGGAATCAAAGAGATGTGCCGGGAGCCAGAGGTTCTTCGTCCTCTTAGCTATTTCTTCGACGTTCTTGAAGGCATTCCAAGCCGCTCTCTTCCTCCTGCGCAGCTCGGGTGCCAGGTCATTTGTCATGTTGACCTCTCGACCTAGGTACACATAGCTGTTGCATTCGGAGATGGTCGTTCCATTGAGAGCAAAAGGGGCGTCAGGAACGAGGCTGTTTCTCATAAACATTGTCTTCGTAAGATTCAGCTGTAGTCCTACCTTTCCACACTCACAGTCAAAGTTGGCCAGCATCTGTGCCACTTGGCTGATGTTTGGTGTTATTAAAACAATGTCATCAGCAAAGCGGAGGTGGTGTAGTTGCCGACCATCTATCTTCACTCCCATTCCTTCCCATTCCAGTCGTCGCATGATGTTCTCGAGGGTGGCACTGAAGAGTTTCGGTGAAATGGTATCACCCTGCCGCACCCCTCTCTTGACATCAACGATCACTTCTTTGTAGAATGGTGAGATCCTGGTAGTGAATCCGCAATACAGCTCACGGAGGATCCTGATGTATTGGGCTTGAATGCCCTGATTGGCTAGGGCTTCAATGACCGCTTCCGTCTCAACAGAATCAAAGGCCTTCTTTAAATCAGTGGACACTACTTCCACTACCCATCCGTCACCACACTTCAGGACGCTTTCCGGACCCGCGTGGCAGCTCCGGCCGAGACTCACACACTACTGAAGACCCACAGAACAAGATAAGCAGAACTCTCTGAGACCTTGGACTCCAGGCTCGGCAGACCCAGGGACAGAGCTTCTCTGCTTGTTCCCACCAACCACACATGGCATATTTGATATACTAAAAACAATAACAAGAAATCTCACAATGGAGACATTACCGGTGCCTTGTTCAAGCAAATCGATGAACAACGGGAGGACAGTGCTACAGTGGTCTTTCACTAGTTTCACCAGGGAGCATGTCATTGGAGTTCTTTATGTCATCATACTGCAAAAGATGTTCTAATAATGCTTCTTTATTTACTGTTTTCTGGGGCCATGCCCAAGGGGACTCAGGATCGACTCCAGGCTCTATGCTCTCTCCCGTGGGGCTTGAGGTGATTGTGATTCCATCAATCCAACCCAGGCCTCCTGCATGGCAAATTTTTAGTCCCCTCAGCATCTTTCCCACCTGTTGTCTGATTTTAAATTGGGGTCAAATACACAAGAGGTAAAATGTACTAATCTGACCTTTTAAAAAAGTGTTCAGGGCTATCAAGTGCATTCACGTGGCTGAGTTTTTAGCACCAAGATCCACCTCCACCTCATTTTCTATCTCCCAAAACAATTCACAAAAGAGATACTCATCCTGAAATCCTGGGGGCAGGGCATCTCACGTAACCCAAACTGCATCTTTGTTTCCTGTGTGACTAGCTGATCATTTCACCTTCCATAGTCACTTAGTATTCATCCAAGTAGGCCCGATGTATCAAAATTTTCTTTTTATATGTTTTGAATTAAAAATGTTTCACTGTACTTCAGGTAACTAAGAAAATGTTAACATTTATGCTTTTGATGTAAAGGCACCTCCCTACCACCAACGTGTCCAAGGCCTTCCACATTATCCTCCTGATTCTTCTGCCTTGCTTCTTCCTGCACCTGCTACCTGGGAATCTAGTTTGAGAGTGTGTCACTGTTCTATACTATCTATTCCCTTCTTTCCCAATATTCCACAGATGAGTGTAGCTGTCTGTGGTATGCGTGTGTGGTACATATACACATGTATGTGGTATATAAGTCATATGTGTTATATATATGTATGTGGTATAATACATGTGTGTTACTTGCATTTGTATTTTTTCCATCTACCTTTTAATTTAACCCAGTGTCCTCTGATTCCATCCTGCCAAGTTGCAGCAAACTGCAAGATTTGATCTTTTCATATAGCTGAGTAGTATGCCATTGTGTATCTATACCAAAACTTCTTTCTTGGGTTTCAGGAGTGGGGGGGTGAGGGGAGGAAGAGAATTTTGCGCCACACTTGTCAGTGGTCAGGGAATATTCCTGGTTCTGTGCTCAGGAGTGACCCCTGGTGGTGTTCAGGGGATCATATGTGGTCCGGAGGTTTCAAACTGGAATCCACCACGAGCAAGGAAAGTGCCTTACCTCCTAGATTATCTCTCTGGGGCTATACTGCAGCTTCTTAATTCTTTTATCCGTCTTTGGACATTTGGGTTGTTTGAATTTCAATCAAGTTCTTCAAGTTACTATTTTCAAGAAAGTCAAAGTTATAAAGATATTTACCTGGGGGCCAGCTTTAGGGATGGAAATGCTCATTTTTTCTGTTTTGATGTCAGGTACAAAGCAGATCTTTGACATGACGAATTTGCTCATATTTAAACCTCCATATCCTTTGATTGCAGTTCCTTTTCCGGGACTAACACTGGTGGGGGACTTTTTTGGCTGTGGGCCAGTGTTCCTATATCAGGAAAAGAAAACAATACAGAGGCTCCAGGACTGAAGGACAATTTATAAACCACCACCACCACCAAAAGCAGCCTTTCACTTAGAAACACAGAAACAATCTAAGCATGTAAGAAAGAATAACTTTTTCAGAGTTCATTATATGTAAATATAGTCCTTAAAAAGTACATACGCATTGCCACTCTTTTCTAAAAACTCTAAGAGATTGCTTTACTATTTCCCTGAACCTCATTTTTTTTATCTATAAAGATGGGAATAATAAAAGTACCTCTTTTGGGGGAGGGTCACACCTGGCAACCCTCAGGGGTTACTCCTGGCTCTGCACTCAGGAATCACTCCTGGCGGTGCTCAGGGGACCATATGGGATGCTGGGAATCAAACCCAGGTTGGCTGTGTGCAAGGCAAATGCCCTACCAGCTGTGCTATCACTCCAGTCCAGTGAAAGTACCTTTAAGAACGTTGGTGGCTGAGACTTAAACCTGAAAGCTTTGTAACTTTTCCCACAGTGATTCAATAAATAAATTAAAAAAAAAAAAGAACGTTGGTGGTGGGAAATGTACACTGGGATGTGTGTTGGAACATTGTATGACTGAAACCTGATCGTGAACAGCTTTGTAACTATCTGTCTCATAGTGATTCAATTAAAATAAAAATATATTAGTAAAAAAAGTAAGGGCCCTCCCGTTGATCGTCGATTTGCTCGAGCGGGCCCAGTAACGTCTCCATTGGAGACTTTGTTGTTACTGTGTCTGGCATATCGAATAATACTACCCGCTGTGCTATCTCTCCAGCCCGAAAAAAAAAAAAATGGGCTGGAATGATAGCACAGCGGTAGGGCGTTCGCCTTACAAGTGGCCAACATGGCCGACCCGAGTTCGATTCCTCCTCCCCTCTTGGAGAGCCCAGCAAGCTACCGAGAGTATTCGATATGCCAGACACAGTAACAACAAAGTCTCCAATGGAGACGTTACTGGGCCCGCTCGAGCAAAAGTATATTAAAAAATAAAAATATCCTTAGTCTTTAAGTGACTTTACTGCCAATATTTCTATTAAGATGTAATAGATAAATCAAGTAAAAACTCCTTATTTCTCTACCCTCATTAATTTTTTCCTTCCATAGCCTTTAAGCTCAGTTAGGTCACCCTTATTTCTTACTTCTTCTCCAAGAATAAAGCTAACCTTTCTAACTGTGTTTTGAAAATTTGTCTCTATCTCTTGAGGGTCTTCTTTTATCAGGAATTCCATCTCATTTCCTCCATTACTTTTATTTTGTTTGGGGGCCACACCAATTATTTCTCTGGGCTTACTCCTGGCTCTTCCATGCTCAGGGATCACTCCTGACACTGTTCAGAGGACCCTGTGCAGTGCCAGAGGGGGAACTGAGGCAGGTCACATGGGAGGCAAGCACCATACCCATTGTACAATCTCTCCTGCCCTATCCTGCATTTTATTTCCTACCCTCTTCCTATGGGCATGTAAATATGCCTGTTATTGCCACTTAAAAATTCTTCCATTAGCTGTCTTTTTCTATTATTATTGCTCTCTTTTCATAATCTGATTTCTGAAAAATATTAGTCAATAATATTATCTTCTTTCTTACAGGTAAGATAAAATGTGAGTTGTGAAGACTGCTTTCAGTGAGAGAGATGAGCGGAGAAATCACGAATCTGAGTTAGATTTTGAAGATCTTGAGGGTGGGTCGAATTTTTAAAAAATTTTTATTAGTGAAACACCATGAGGTACAGTTGTAGACTTACAAATTTTTGTGCTTAGGTTTCAGTTATACAATGATTGAGTACCCATCCCTCCACCAGTGCCCATTTCCTACCTTCAATGCTCCCAGCAAGGTGAGTTGAATTTTAAAAAGTGTGTGTGTGTGTGTGTGTGTGTGTGTGTGTATGCGAAGGGAAACAGGAAGAAGCAGATCAAGGAATATATCCTGAGCAAAGATCATGGTAAATGATGTATGGTACATAAAGAATCAATTATATAAAAAAAAACAAAGTTAAGTATTGAAATAAGTAGAACATATCATGAACATGTCTTGCTTTAAATAAGCAAGAACATGTCACAGCAGCTTTTTAGTTAAAAAGTGATCGAAATTAGAGGGGCTGAAAAGATAGGACAGCAGGTATGACAACTGCTTTGCATCAGGCTCATTTAGATTCAATTTCCATCACCCCATTTAATATACCTTGAGCTCCTCAAAAGAATCCCTGATCACAGAGCCAGGAGTAAACTCTGAGCACCACCAAATGTGCCTCTCCCAACAAAAGAAAGAAAAGTGACTGAAATTAAGTTTTAGAAAAATTCAACTCTATATGAAATACACCAGAAGCAAGATCATCATTGGTTAAGATGCTATGGGAATGATTCAGGGGAGAAAGAGCAAAACCTAATCTGAGATGGCAAATGCAGGAAAAAGAAAAATGCAAGACAAAGTCTATCTTAAGCATGTCTTTTGCTTTCTGAATCTGCTGCTTTGACAGTGAAGGGCTTGCTTGCCTAAGGGGACTACCCTTAGGAGGTATCAGTCCCTACAGAGTCAGTGAGGAGTTCACAATTACTCCTTTCATAAGCAAACTAATCAGTTTAGTTCACCAACCTCTGATCACCCCCTTTATCAAGTTCTCACAGAGCTCTCACCAGTAGCACCCCATCCAACTGCCTGATTATTGCAGGGACAGGAAGGCAGGTCTCTGAAAGCAGCCCAAACGCCCAGAGCCGGTTGAAATTAGCCAAGGAGTTGATTCTAAGCCTGCTAATGGCTCTGCTTTTCCTTCCCCATGGAATCCCAATAAACGCCCTTGCCCATACTGTCCTCAGATTTGTTCTGCTTCCTGACTGTTCCCAGGGCTTCTACAAGTGGACCCCTGTCTCCTGGCTTCCTGGCTGTGCCTCATCTCCTTTTACTCAGAATCTATGAGGTCTTTTTTTTTTAAAAAAAAAAATAATGTAGGGCTGGAGTGATAGCACAGAGAGTAGGGTGTTTGCCTTGCACGCAGCCGACCCAGGTTCGATTCCTCCGTTCCTCTCAGAGAGCCTGACAAGCTACTGAGAGCATCCCACCCTCATGGCAGAGCCTGGCAAGCTCCCCGTGGCATATTCAATATGCCAAAAACAATAATGACAAGTCTCACAATGGAGACGTTACTGCTGCCCGCTGGAGCAAATCAATGAACAACGAGAGGACAGCGCTACAGTGCTACAATAATGTAGGAGCACTGCTATTTATTCAGCCATTGATTAAGCTGATTGAATTGGGCATGAACTCCACATTACATTTTTTTTCCTATAAGGTCTTTTAACAAAGACAAAGACAAATACCAGGTGATCTCACTCAAATGTGGTATATTAAGAGTCAAAGCAAGGAACTGGAAGTGTCCAATGAAAACAAATCCCCAAACTCTGACAAAAAAATTAGGTCACCAAGTCAAGTTCCTAAGCTACCGAGAGTATCTCGCCCACACGGCAGAGCCTGGCAAGCTCCCCGTGACGTATTCGATATGCCAGACACAGTAACAACAAAGTCTCCAATGGAGACGTTACTGGGCCCGCTCGAGCAAATCGATGAACAACGGGAGGACTGTGACCGTGATCCAAGTCAAGTTCCAGGTGAGAAGGGAAGAGATGGGGATAATGATAAAGGGAAATAGAAAGGCAGACAAGAAATGACAGAGGGGCAGGGTTGGAGGAATAATAGCACTTTGGTGGTGGGTGTGAGGTAGGAAGTCTAAAGCATAACTATAAACACAGTTGTAAACCATGCTATTTCGATAATAATAAAAATTTTAAGTCATTTTTTGAGGCTGGAGCGATAGCACAGCGGTTAAGGCATTTGCCTTGCACACAGCCAACATGGCCGACCCGGGTTCGATTCCCAGCATCCCATATGGTTCCCCAAGCACCGCCAGGAGTAATTCCTGAGTGCATGAGCCAGGAGTAACCCCTGAGCATCGTCGGGTGTGACCCAAAAAGAAAAAAAAAAGTCATTCTTCATTGTAATCATTTCTATGTCTAGATGTCTTGCCATATTTGATTAAAACAAATCTTGGGTACCTTTAAAACAGCAGAGAGCAGGACATGGTAACTGAGAACAATGGTGTCACTTAACATTTAAATTCCCACCTATATTCTGTAACTCAATTCTTATAAAAACTTGTGAATATTTAATAGCCATTTTTTACAAGTGAGAAACTGAATCTCAAAGAGGTCTACTTAAAATGTTCAGATTCATCCAATAATGCATAGCCTACATGCTCTTGAACAACTTTGCTAATCTCTTTCTTTTCTCGCCTGTAAATTGAATTTAGAAACAGTATCATAGTTATAGTGAGATATAACTATAACTATGATACTGTTTCTAAATCATAGTTATGGTGATTATTAATCTATACCTCTAAAGCACAAGAAGTTAAATTGTATATGTGTCCAGTTTTACATGCTGTAGTGATATCCTGGTGCAGCTGTCTCTTAACAGTTGAAAATGAAAAAATAAGTGAATTTCAGGGGAGAAATAAAAAATTAAGATTCAAATTTGAGAATCTGTGCATGGAAATGGCAAATAATGAACAAAGTCCCAAAAGAAAAGTTAAGATACAGGACCAGAGTGATAGTACAGTGGGTAGGACACTTGCCTTGCATGTAGCTGACCCAGGATTGATCCCCATTACCACATATGGTCCTCTGGATAATTCCAAGAGCTGCTAGGAGTAATTCCAGGAGTGATCCCTAAGTATGAATTTTGTGACTTTGAGGAGGAAGGCTCCCAAGTAGTACTCAGGGGGGCTGGAATCATCAGGGTCATTCTGGCAGTACAGAGGACGATGTGGTGTCTGGGCTCAAACTAGAAACTCTGCAGGCTAGAATAAACTCCTTAGAGCTATCTTCCTCAC